AGGAAAAATATCGGAAACAACATTATAGTTTCGTAACGAATTCGATTAAAATTAGCAAAAGAGAAAAGGAAAATTCGGAACGTTTTTGTAGGGTTGATACGAAATTCGTAAAAATTTCGGATGTTTGATCCGAAATTCGGAAAAAAAATCTGAATCCGAGTTTCTCCGATTTTCAACTTTAAACGTGCATAACTTCTGTTTTTAACAAAAGATTTTTGAAATCAATGAAGAAATATCAATGTTACAGTGGTTTAAGTGTGAAGAAAACGTATCGAAAACACGAAATCGATTTTTCCTTTTCATAATGCTGATACACCACAAATCTTATACCAAACACTAGTATTATTAATTTATGCTAAACTTTCAAAAACTGGAAAGATACTTAAAATCGGATGAGAAAAATACGAGTTATATATATATTTTTTTGTTTTAACTTTTTTGTTTTTTATTTGAAAGACTTTGTATTTCTTTGTCTTTTATAAACGTTGCTGTCAATACTGCGAGTTAAAGGCCAACAGTAGTCAGAAAGCATACTGATTTTATTTTTTTCTATGTATCGTTGTTCAACATTAGATATTTCCTGGTGGAATCTTTCGCCTTATTTATCACTCATCTCTCCTAAACTTATTTAAAATCTGTCCAAATGAGAATGCAGATATTGTGATTTATTAGTCATTTTGCATGGTACATGTTGTACATGACTGTGTCCAAATTGTTCAAACAATTTATTCACATAATTGCAGTAGGCCAAATTACTATTTCCAGTGCTTTCGTTAAAAAGTGATCTAAACAACTCAATAATATCGGTTCTTCGAAATGTAATCCTTACATTTTCTTGCAAATGGTTAAACTGTTTAAGTCTGGAACTTAGAACTTCGATTTGTTTTTCGACAGTTCTAAATCCCGCTTGGGATATCAAGTGTGTTTCTCTCAATTCTCCTCCGGAAGCAGCATATTCTGATACGGGGATTCCAGGTTTTGTCTTCGTTCGGCAGAAATAGCAATTACTTGGTCTATACACACGTAGTGAAAGTCAAATTATCGGCTCAGCAAACGGTAATCCATCAGAACGATCTGTAGATATTTTTCGATGGTATATCTCATTTCCCACATTCCATGGGACGGCCAAAATAATATCTTTTTTGCGACACATCTATTTAATGTTTTTATCCACATATATAACAAAAGTTGTTTCATTCATCGCACATGTTTATATTATCTAGTAACATTTCTTTTTTAATTGGATATTATAAGTTTTCAGTTCACTCCGATTCTTATTGGTCACTTGCAGATATTATACTGTGCCAGTTACCCAAAAGTAGTCTTTATATCAAATTTTTAGTAACGTTGTAGCCTTTACATGCTCAACTTATTAAAACGTGTTTCATAAAATTAAAAATATATTTCACAGAAACAGGTAAAATGACGTATTTTATATGGCATTTTTACTGAATGAACATTCGCTCTTCTCTACTGAAGTAGGTTCGGTGATCATTAATGGGTTAATTTGTTGGTTCATTGTAGCCTTTACCTACTTAACCCATCATGTTTACATTTTAGCCCAAACAAAATATAGCAATTAAAATTAATTTATTTTTACGACATTTTTACAGAATGAAACCTTTTTAAAATTCACTTTTCTGTTCCCAAGCAGGTACAATGAATATTAATGGATTTATTCAAAAATATTTCTATGCTAAATCCTGAATGTTGCATGAGGGGTTTAAGGAAGTGTCAAAATTGTATTTATTAATTTTACGTCATTTTTATAAAAATAATTATTTCACACTTAAACCACCGATTTAAAAATTCGTTGATTTGTTTGAAAGGCAACTCTCGACCCTTTCAAAAAGGCCTACTGCAATGATGTGAACAAATTGTTTGAACAACGTGGTCATATTCATGTACCACGTGTAACATCCAATGGGTTGCAAAATGTCTATCAAATTTGCATTCTCATTTGGACAGATTTCCTATAGGTTTAGACAGATAAGAACAAGGCGAAAGATTCTACCAGGAAATATCCAGAGTTGAACAATGATACATAGCAGAGGGCTGCAACGAGTATGAAAAATACAATCATACTCCGTTTCGTACATAATTTCTGTTGATGCAGTCGTTTGGTTTGATCTGAATAAAATATCGTTTTCGCATTGGATCGAACACTCAATTTGAATCACTTCAATTCACAACCAAACATTAATGTTCTAGAGCGTTTGATGTGCTCAACAACATGACTGTAATTTTTTCTTTCAATCGAGTTCGCTCCGTACATTGTCCATTCAACCATTATTCGATTCGGGCAATTTATTTTGAAATGGAAGAATATTGTGATATTGCAACCGAAATTGTTGCAAATAGAAATTATAACTCGTCTATTTCTCAACCGATTTTAATTGTCTTTCCAATTTTTGAAAGATTAGAAAAAGTAAATTATACTTCTGTTTGGTATCAGTTTTGCAATGTTAATTACGAAAAAAAACCTTTTCCTGTTTTGTTGATACGTTTTTTTTTTCACACTTAACTGTATCTTCGATATTTGTTAACCGATTTAAAAATCTTTCATTTGTTTGAAAGGTAACACTCGACCTTTTTAAAGAAAAAATAATAGAAATCCGTTGTTAAAAATACAAGTTATGCACGTTTAAAGCTGAAAATCTGATTTTCTCTATATTTACCATTATAAAATCAATGTTCGAAGTGATCCAGATTAACCAAAGGCATATTTGTCATCTGTGGCCACCCACAAACCAGGATGGGAACATTAAAAGAAATGTGTATTTTTTTGAATATTTGTATCACAGTGCTATTTTTCCCCGCCCTTTACGGTGTTTAAAGTTGGATGTAGAGTGCAATTAATAGGGCAAATACCTGCGAGATTGTTGGCCTTCAGAAAGCGATTGGTTTGAGATTAATTTTTCGTTAAGAACATGAAATTACCATATCTCATGAGGATATTTTTTAAAATAGATTCACTTGATATTCCTTCAACTGCTTTCGAACGAAAAAGATATATAATGGGGTTAGCGGGTTTTCAGGGTATTGTGTAATTGCTATGTATTTAAGTATTGGTGTATTCTTGGGTTAGTGGATAGAAGTGGAGGATAGTCCATTGTATTACCAAGGGAAAATGTGTGGTTTGTTTTTTGGAAGGGGTAAATTCGCTGTGGTCCAAACATTCAATGTTTGGAGATAATCACTAACAACGTATGTTTTAAAAATGCTTGTATTTAGATAAATATTAGGAAGTGACTTGCGTGATGTGAGCACGAAAGAAGAATGTCGACCGTCTACTGCGAGGACTAAAGGTAAACTTATATACATTTTTAACACTTAAATAATTTATTGAATTATTTTGTTTTGTGTACATTTTTGAACAAGTAACTCTGACAATATTACAATAATAATTAATCATGTGATTGTTTTTGAATTGAATTTGTTTTAGTTTTTCTTCTAGCTTCTAATAATTCTATCATGGTATCGTGTGTAGAATGGTTGGTATTGAAAATTAAAAGGTCTACATTTTCGTATTGTCTCAATATAAAGGTATATTCCTATATTTTTTCGATGTTTTTAGGCTTTATTTAAATTGGTATTTAAAGTTGTAATGGGTTCTATATTCTGTGTCTTAACATTGTATATATTTTTCCATGTTTTCATATACCCTATATAACGATACCTTCGGATTGTATTTGTAGTATCGTAAAGGGTTCTACCGCCACTGTCGAAACATTGTCTAAATTGGTCCAATGTTTTCTGTGACTTCAATATAACGGTACCGTAACCACTTTATGGTGTTTTGAAAGATTTAGCTAACAATTAAGAGAAAGACCTATGAAAGCTCCTCCTTTAGAAGATAAAACTGATATGTTCTTTTTATATTTCGAAATATTTCAAATTTCGAAATATTGCAACCGCAGAGAATTTATGATGTCTGTGCCTGAGGCATTTGCAGCAAATAATCTGATTTTCGGTCATATATTAGACTTTAACCTTTAACTCCTGAGGTGGTGGTAAATTTTACCCTCCCTTCACATTTTCTTGAAATTCTCTATTCTATTACAATGAATAAAAATTTTGTTTACATTAAAAAAAATGTTTTTTTTTTTACTTATTGTAATTTAAAATATACAAGCTTACTTTTAAAAAACAAATTATTATCAAATAAAATTTTTAAGAAAGTTTTTTTCTGTAATATTTAGAGGGGTAAAATTTACCACCACGTTATAAAATATGTCACCTCAGAAGTTAAAGGTTAAGATTAGAATTTAGACAGTATAGAACGTGGATGGTGGATTTGTGTTAGAGATACCGAAATCGCGAATATATTGAAGAATAAGCAAAACTCTCAATATTAAACATTTTAAGTATGCGCTTATATCACTACTAACGGATGCTTTCCATGCTAAAAAAAATTGTGCATGTAAATTATTTTGTGATCTGTATATTTCTCAAGCACAAATTTTGTGCCATTATAAATTTCGGTAGGAGGTTGCAGCTATTCAAATGGAAAATTTTTCCGAATACGGAAATCGAAAGCAATGCCTCAATTTTATTATCCATCGACCACTACACATTAATAATCATGACATTAAAAGTAATGTATAGTATGAAGTTATCTTCATTGATACTCGTGTAAGTGTCATATGCTACATATCACATATTGGGGACAAAATCGTTAAAATAACAATGTCTGTATCCGACAAGAACCAGTAATTGTATATAAATATAAAAGCCAAGAGTCTCAGCTAAAAAAGAAATTTGATTAATGAAGTTTTTTTTTTCAAACGGTGTTGATTGGTAACTCGTAATGATTGTGAACTGTAGGGTAACACTTATAAAATTTAGAGATATGTATCTTTTATACACATGACATAACAATATGCGCATGCTTGAGAAATATACAAACCTTACTTTTCTATTTAAACTGCAATATTGGTGAATATACTGAAATTTTTGTTTAATGTAAATTTATCAACTTTTTCGAATGTAATATAAAGCAATCGATGTTTTACAAACGGGTTTGAAGAACTTAGCCGTGGCCATATTTAAAAAAAATCGTAAAGGAAAAAAACGTTTTTTAAATACATTTAATGCGATGGGTTGTTTGAGTAGCAAAGACCGTTTAACAAAGGAGGATATGGAGTTTTTAAAGTCCCACACACGTTATGATGAATCTACGATAAAGGAGTGGTACAAAGGATTTAAGGTAAGTAATTGTTCACCTATAACCCTAAAGTAACGTTTTTATTTATAGCAAGATTGCCCAAATGGGAGATTGACTCCTGCAAAATTTGTTGATATGTATAAGATGTTTTTTCCATCAGGCAACGCCGAAGAATTTTGTGACCATGTTTTCCGAACATTTGACATGGATAAAAATGGGTACATAGACTTCAAGGTAAGTTTATAATTTTACGAAAAGACTTACAATATATATATATATATATATATATATATATATATATATATATATATATATATATATATATATATATATATATATATATATATATATATATATATATATATATATATATATATATATATATATATATATATATATATATATATATATATATATATAATGTATATATATATATATATATATTTATATATATATATATATATATATATATATGTTTGGGTTCGAAACTACCTTTTTCCAGTCATACGTTCTTGAAAATAAAATCAGCGGATGCCAACAGTTTTAACTTTAACCTTGTACAAGGAGCGCAGTGCTGAAGAAATGCATTCGCGTATTCCTTCCATAATAGTCAACTCATGTCAGAATTTATTAAGTACGTTTCTTTTCCATAATTGGTAAGGATGTTTATTGAGACGGAAGTTATTCCATAAGACAGCGAATTGAAGGTCTGATATGTACAAGATGGAACAATGTTGTTATAGCATTCTGTTGTTGCAAAATGCTTTTTTGACATAGAAGTTATTTTTAAATAACTTCTGGTGAGAATATTCCAGACAAAAAACAAGGGAACTGATGAGGATTGGTGGCTCTTTCCGAAACCTAGATATTCCCTAAACATTACCATCGTTCTCCTCTAATAAACAAACGTTGTGTTTTTAAAAATAACAATAAAGGGATTAAGCCTGATCATTTTGCAACAACAAAATATGTGTACGATGTTTATCCCATCAGGCAACGACGATGAATTTTGAGACTATACTTTCCGAACATTTGACTTCGATAAAAATACGCACATAGGTAACTTTTGTTCATTATTTTGCTTATAAATGTAGGAAATATTTCGTATATATATTAAACGTATATGTTTGATATATTGTCACCCCTTCCCCAGCGTTCCAATTATATTAATGGGGAAATATTCTTTGCCTCTCATTTAGTAGTCACATTCGTCTAGTTTCATCACTTTCTTGTAAAAGTCATATTCGCTCAGTTCGGATGCAGAGAGGTACTTTGCAATGCTCGGTCTTCGTTGTTGGCCACGACCTTCTCCCGCTATTATGGCCATCTGCAACTACACTTGTTCTATCGCTCTCGTATGGTAGTCTTGTTTCCTAGAAACTCACAACTTGACGTATAAACCATTTGAGAAGATAATTTTGACACAAAACTACATAATCAAAATTGTTATTTTCTTTACTTTTTGGGTTTATCTGTACCTGGATCACGCTATTGTTATCATGTCAACAGTTCAACCGGATCATTTACCGAAATCGTTGACTTTATTTGTATATATACATTCGATCAAGTTGTGGTAATTTATTTAAACAATATTTGTAACGGAAGAATATTGTGATGGAGCAACCTAAAGTGTTGCAAGTACAAACTACAACAACTATAGGTAATCGAAGAGAAGTTTTGTGTGAAAAAATTTTGGTTTTTTTTAATAAGTCTCTGTCCTATAAACCAAAAATCAAATTAAATTAAAATTTGTCTGTGTGTTAAATATAATTTGTACCAATTTCTTTAATGGGGGCCGTTTTTAGTTATAAAATTCTTAGTAAAATTACAATGATGATTTTGCTTGGATTCGACCATTTATGTTTTAATCAAATCACTCACTAAACTAGGATGAATCAAACCGATCATAGATGATCGCCCCGTTATGAACAATTCAACATTAGTTCGTAAATAAATCAATAATATGAGCTGTTTGATTAGGAACTCACATTCGATCAATTCATGTTTGCTCACAACTTTTTCGTTTCGCTTAAGCAACTCGAACAAAAATATTACATCTGACCGACTGATTGAGTTTGATTGTATTTCCACTGTGTGTGATTAAACCTACTCAATCATACCCATTACAGCCCTCTAGTATGCATGCAGCCACCGATATTTTCAACAAATAGTTATGCTGCACTGCAAGCATAAAGACGCAATGTTATGTTCAGCAGAATCACTTTGAAAACGTAAAATAAATAATTCAACTGTTGCCAGATCTCAATCCATCATCTGAGGAATCTATCAAGCCTTCGTAATTTGTACAGCGTGTGGAATTATTGAAGATCGCATAAAACTGGGACGATGCATCAGTTATATTTGCAGTGCAACAGAAAATGTGGTGTCGTAACTGATTGTGCAGCAATAACAAATGCAAAAACAACGAAGGAACTACTACCACGAGTAGCGATGAAATTACTCGAATTCAAGGACCACACATGGCACAGTTTTCTGCCGTTCGCCAGATTTACTACCAACGGAAATGGAACTAGCTTTATAATAATGATTGTATTCTAACGAAGCACCTGAATGACGAAAGTTGAAGAAAATTATGATGGTACTGCGAGATGAATACAAAATTTTAAGAGTTCCGAAGCCAAGGGAGAGATTTTAATCGGTCCATTTTTTTCTTTCAAGTATGCACAAACACATTTTTATCTGGAAACACATTATAACCCGATTCTTATAAATGCTACCCTCGCGTATGCCTTAACAGAAGCATCAGAACTTTCCTGTGCGTTACAATAAATGAACCGATCGGGTTTGGCGATTAACATCAAAGTAAAACGAATCGAACATCGCGTTCCACCTAATTCCTAGAGGTTTTGAGCCACTAGCTTCCTTAAACGACCACGCTTGCGTGTCAACCAAATTTGAAGGAAAACAATTCAAAGTTACCTTTTCGTTGGCCGTCCACTTCCTCAATTCAAACTCGGCTGAAAAAGTGCACCAAAAGCGGTCTCAAGGTCATGCGTTCCGGTAAAAAGGTCATCTACGTACATAGATGATCGGAATATTTTGGCCGCTGACTCAGTCTCATCAGCGAGCTGCAGAAGCGCCCGGATTGCTAAATAAAGCGCACAATTAAGGCCGAAAGTTACCGTTTGTAATTCGTAATCGGGAATGGGTTGGATTGACGGGTCCCGATAAAGAAATTTTTAGAACGGCGTGTGTTTAGAGTCACGAATTTCCCTATACATTTGAGTAATGTATGAATGGAATACGGACCTATTCACTCGCCAAACGAAGTAATAACAATATTAGGTCGAGTTGCAAAGAAGGTCCTGCATGTAACATGTCATTCAGGTGGATAACGGTCGAAGTTTTATTCAAGGCGTTTGTTGTATTATTTTTACATATAAATTACCGGATGATGAGGCAAATTCGAGACCTTATCATACATATGTTTCACATCGATTTTTATATATAACGGCAATTCATTACGATTAAATTGTATGAGGACTTTCGGAGGAGATTCCCCCAAATTTATGTCTTCGCCGAACTCAGATCGCAATGGTAGTGTCACCACATATCTGCCATCAGAGTCTATACTCTGGACCTCATATAATTTTCCTCACATATGCGGACTGAAGGAGTCATTATTTTCCGTTTGGAACTTATTCTAGTCCCCAAAAGCGCAACAAAGGTTTGCTTAAAAAGTTTTATTCTGCGACGTCAACCATAGTGGCAAATGTGCGAATTTCCGACGATAGGATAGGTCCAGCGACACGCCATCCGAAAACAGACAAGCAAAGTCCCACAGAAAATCAATTTCACAACCCTCTAATAAAATGTTTGGATTCAAGTCAGCGCCCAACAAAGGATCTACAGGACGAAAATCGAATGAATTAGTATACTTGTCTTTTGGGCTCTAAAGTCAGTGACCGAGGGCAAATTTCCAGAAATGGCCTGCAATCCCAGCGCACGATTTTGTAAATATACCGACCGATACAAGCGGCTTTCAATCTTCAGAGAACAAACTTTACGGGTATTGGCTGAAATTGAACAATTCACACCAGAGTTCACCACCTTCGCTAAAACAACAATCCCACGGCAGCGGGTTCTACGATACCGGATTGACCCGAAACAACAAGATCCCAGTTTCGGCCAGCGGCTGCCAACCCAGTATGTACATGTTTGTGTTTGTTTATTTTTTTGTTTTGGGAGCAGCATATCCCGGAATGCTTGCTCCGGATTTTATTGGTCCGTGCCGGGATTGAGGAAAAACCCCGGACCTTGCTCGGTTTGTCAGAACGTCATCCACCACAGATCTGTTTCGGTGCGATGTAATGGATGCAGAGAATGGGTGCACTTTAAGAACTGTTCCGGACTAAGGCGTTTGCGAGACTACAGCGAAAGGGATTATGTAGCAACTTGCTGCAGTAACGTAGTCCCCAGCGAGTCCACTACTTCGTCGTCCTCATTAGAGACGTCGTCGGAGTATGGCACTCCACCGCAGTCTCCAGAACAGCAACCAACACCGCAGCACTTAACGCCACATGTTGCTGTTCCAACTCTGGATTGTGCAGCATTCTTGCAATTCAATTGCAACGGACTCCGAGGTAAAATTGATGAGATAGTGGATTTTATGAGTCGGAGGAATATTAAGATCGCAGCGGTGCAGGAAACCAAGCTGAATGAAAATTGCAGCCTACAACGTTGTTATGGTTACAACGTACTAAGGAAGGATCGCACCAGAAGTGAAGGTGGGGGATTAGCGTTCCTGTTACACCATTCTGTTCAGTACATACCTATCTCGCTTGAGATAGTCTCTAGTGACCCATACATGGAATGTATGGGGTAGCAGTCAAGTGTGGAACTGCCGAGGTAGAGGTGCTTAATGTGTATATAGGTGTGAACCGCGTTATTTGCGTGATATTAGCCCATTATCGGTAGGCAATAACCGCCTGGTACTAGGGGATTTTAATGCCCACCATGAGTTGTGGCATTCCGTCTTAGGTAATGACCAGAGGGATCAGCGCTGGCAGAGCAGATTGACAGCTCCACATTCTGCACGGTTAACGAGGATGCCCCCACCCGAATAAGAGGAGAGTGTCACATTTCGCCAGACTTAACCATAGTGTCACCCGGTCTGATAAATGACGTGATTTGGCAACCCATCATTTCTCTTGGCTCAGACCATCTCCCGATAATCGTCTCCATAAGCAGGTCGCCCGATTTCATAACCTCTG